AACAATCAAGTATTTATGAAATACCTACTATGTGCCAGGTGCTATACTAAGATATTTACAGATATCTCATTTGAGCCTCACATCAACCCTGAGAGCTATTATCATCCCCATTTTACTCATGATGAAACAGGCATACAGAGTTCAAGTGACTTGCCTGGAGTCATCCAAGTGTCTGAGACCGGATTTGAACTCATGTCTTCTGGATTCCAGGCCTAGCACTCTTCCTTCACCATACATACATACACATGTGCATGCATGTGTTTACATACACACATATGTATGCTCACAAGAAAATGCCCAGTGATGGGGGAAGGGCACTAACAACCAGAAAGGTCTCCTATTGAAGTAGGTAACATTTGAGCTAGACCTTGAAAAGAGCCAGGGCTCCCAAGAGTTACAGGCTTGGAAGGAGAGCATTCCAGGCATAGGACATGGTATGTATGAGGAACAACAGCTAGGCCAGTTTGGCTGGAGACCAGAGTGCATGAAAACTAATGGAAAATCAACCTGGAAAGATAACCTGGAGCCAAATTGTGACAGCCTTAAAATGCCAAACAGAAGAGTCTGTATTGTATCTCAAGAGCCATGGAGAGCCCTGGAAGCTTCTTGAGCAAGGACATGACATGGTCAGACCTGTGTTTTAGGACTAGCACTATGCCACCTGGGGGACTTTAGATTGAATAGGGTAGACAATGGAGACGGAGACCAATTTCAGGAGGCTATTATAGTAGTACAGAGAAGAGGTGATGAGACTTTGACCTTAGAGTGACTGGGGTATGAAGAAAAGGTATAAGATATTGAAGTGGAATGAACAACACTTTGGACAACTGATTAGTGGGGAGGGAGGTGTCAGGGAAACATCTGGGTTGATGGGAATTAATAAATTGAATGCTAAATAAAATACCTCCCCCCAACACATTAATTTCCTCCTACCCACCCTATCTCCTGCAAAGAAAAGGCTAGAATTTGCCCTGGGGTTCACTAATTTAGTTAATATTGCCCTGGAGTTGATTTTAGAGAAACCTGAGCAATGATGAGTATTGCATAAAGTTAAAATGGGGGCAAAAGATGAGATGGAGCAGATTCAGGCCTGGACTCTCCAGTGAGCCCCCTTCTTAGGCAAATCTTTCCCCTATTACTAAGATCTCATGTCCTCTCTCAATCCTCAAGGAGCTAGAGTGATTCCTAAACATGTTGACATCTTGGGAGGGGGATGAGAAATTCAGGTACTGGGGACTCCCTTGCCTAGGGGGCCAAAGAAAAGAAGTAGGCAGAGAAGGAAGCGTTCTTTTCCAGCTGCAACTCGGAGAAAGGGAACAAATCCTTCACCAGGGAAGATTGTGTAAACAGCGCCTTTGGCTGAAGCCACAGAGTTGAGGAAGCAAAGAAAGAGGGCTTTGTTCTCCCCCACCCCAGTCAGAGCACAATCGCAGAGCAGGGATTGTTTGCTTTGGCAAAGGGGTTCCTGCCTGAAAGGACTAGGCATTTCAGAGCCTGTGAGGCCTCCCATTGGGTTTTCCTCGTGGGGATGAGGAGGAGACAACTTTCATTCTAAGTATCCTGCCCAAGCAGGGTGGCTAGAGACCCCAAAGGTCTGAGGGTATTTGGCCTGTTCTCTACCTTTGTTAGCCTCCTTCCCTTCCCACAGGATGTCAGTCAGACTTGTTCTTCCTGCCCTCAGATGCTGTTGGTAGTTAGGCTGGGGTTCCAGCCCAGAAATAGTTGCATTGTATTGAGGATAGAGGAGGCCACAAAGGGTGCAGCATTTCAGCTTCTCTCTTGATCCTTCTAGTTTTCCCCTTACCTCTTCTGTCTCATTTGCTGGGACTCATTTCTTATCTGGCCCTCTAAATGTTAGCATTCTCTAGATTGCAGTTCTGGGCCCTTTTGTTTTCTAAGAAGGGTTTAGAGCTGGAAGACATAGATAAGGAAATCCGAGTCTGGAGAGGTTGTGACTTGCCTGGAGTCGTTTGGGTGGTAAAGTGGCTTCCCTTTGGCCACTAGGATCACACCCATAACTTCAACTAACATCTCTAAGCAAGTGGCTTCCAAAAACACATCATAGATTTGGAGCTACAATGTCCTTTGACTTTTTTTTTTTTAATTATTAATTTATTTTCAGTTTTCAACAATCATTTCCATAAACTTTTGAGTTTTAAATTTTCTCCTCCTCCCTCCCCACCTCCCTCCTGAAAACAGCATGCAATCTGATGTAGGCTGTACATATACGACCCTATTAAACATTTTCACATTAGTCATGTTGTAAAGACGAATAGACATCCTCACTTTTAAAGGTTATCTACTAGGCCCCTCATTTTATTTAATTATAAAAAACTAATATTACAATAGAAAGAATGTTGGAATTAGAGTGTTTGGGTTCATATTTCACCTTGACACTTACTATCTGTGTGACCTTAAACAAAAAACCTAACCTCCCCAGGTCTCAGTTTCCATATCTGCAAAATGAGGATGTTGGATTGAAGGTGGTCTCTGATAATCATTCCAACCTTTGATCAATGCTCCTGTGGTTTATATGGCGCTTAAGATTGAAAATGAATACATACATATAAATATATCCATACATATATATTACATGCATATATTTTTTCATTTGAGCCTCAAAAATCCTGTGGAGTCAATACAACAGGCATTATTCTATTTTATAGATGAGGAAAATAAGTCTCAAAGAGTTTAACTGACATGCCTGTAATAACAAAGTTTTAAGTGTCAAAACCAGGTTTTCCGAACTCCAGGTCCAGCATTCTAATCTACCCATGGAAGCTGAAGTCTATACAAGATAAAAGCAGCTTATCCAATAACAGCAGTGATTCAAACCAAAGCTAACACCTTCCACTGTCCTTCTGCCTGAACCTAGCTTCTAAATTCTTGACCTGAATTTTGAATTAAGTATGCAGATGTCTTATCAGAACCTCAAACTCAACATGCCAAGTAAATTTTCTTCCCCCTGATGGGGTGCTTGGGTGCTTATGTTTGGGTGCTTGTACTTGGACCCCAGTTTCTCCCTAGCCTCAGAAACACTGTCTCTGATGATTTCTTCCCAGCCCAAAGACACTGTACCTAGCAATTACCCATGAGTGGGCCCCAGCAAGACCCTTATCTCTCTCCCTGGTGCAGTTACAAACAGCACCTGAAGGAATTATTAGTTTGAACTGGCTTTGCACTGGGTCATAAAGACATTCTTACCTACTGGACTATCTATACTACTGCCCTACCTCATTATCTACATCCTGGATTCCTCATTATTTGTATTCTAGACTTTAAGACATATGTGTACTCCCTACATCTATCTTGTCAAACAAGACATTGATTGGTGGCAGACTGGACAACTCTCAGTTACCCCTGAACTCTAGTTAACTTAGTGACATAGCAGGCCTAAAACCACACCTCCATGTGGCCCCCCTTGTGGGCTTTTCCTAGTGAACTCTGGGTAAAACGCCTGTGAAGTAGGTACAAGAAGTGCATATTCTTTTAAGAACTGATCACTCCTTAACCACTCCCTAATCCCACCCTGAATCACCTAGTTAGCATATTTGGCATATGTTTTATTGTATTTTATCCTATATAAACTTTAACTGTACCCCTTTAAGATCACAGGATCCTTAAGAATCTTTGCCTGCTGAAAAGCGTGACAATAAAGTTTTCCTCGGGCTAGAAGATTTGAGTTGAATTCATTGAGGCAGGACCTGGCATTGCAATCTCAGGGTTCCCAGGGGCACCCCAAACCTCTAGACCTCTTCACCCCTAAAACGTGTTCTCTTTCTGATTTCCTTATTTCAGTGGTGCCACCAATCTTCTCACCAAGGCTTGAAGATCTCAACATCTTTGAATGTTCCCTCTCCCTTACTTCCCATATTCAATCAAGTCCTGTTGATTATAGCTCAAAAAATACCTGTTACATCTGTCCCCTCTTTTCCATTATTCCAGTTCCTTATCTCTAGTACTTGCCCCTTCAAATTCATCCTAGTTACCACTGTCAAATTAATCTTTTAAAAAACACAGCTCTGAATGTCATTCCTCTGCTCAAGATCTTGAAGTGGCACCCAGTTTGCCCCCAAAAAAATATACCACATTTCTTAGTAAGTCATTTAAAGCATCTATAAGCCAGTGCTGGCACATAGAAGGTGCTTAATAAATGTTGACTGCATTGAATTGAGTCCCTTTTCACCTTTAAGGATACTAAGGCTTGAAAAATTTAGACCTTTCAAAAGTCACATGGCCAGACTAGAAAACCAGATTTTCTGATACCTAATCTCATGTTTTACTCATTTCTCTAAGCTGTTTTTGTGGCATGCTGCTGACCTTCCGGCCTTTCCTTGGGCAGCGTTTAGTCCACAGGGATCCAGGGATGTGGACTTTTAATAAAATACTTTCCAAATAAGGAAACATAAGCACTTACTGGGGCCAGGCACCACTCTAAGGGCTGCATCCTCACAATCCCGGAAGCTAGGCGCTATTTATCATCCCCATTTTATAGTTGAGGAAACTGAAGCCGAAGTTAAGTGCCCTGCCCTGGGTTATGTGCTTACTAGGTATTTGAAGCTGAATTTGAACTCAGGTCTTCTGACACCAGGCCCACCGCAGTGATCGGATGATTCAGAGGGGTGGGAAATGCACACAGGAGGAAAAGCCTTCTATCCCAAGTCTACCCTGAGAATCTGAGATACTTTGCTCATGACAGCGGTAACTCTTTAAAACTGAGAGATAAATGTGCCTAGGCTCTTTACGGTCTCGTAGTAACTCAGGCTGCGAACCTCTCCAACCTCTAAACGTGCATTCCTTCTAACCACTACCTCTCCCTCGGGATCTCCGAAATCTACAAACCCGAGGGCGCAGGCCCCTTTTTACAGAGTTCTTCCCAAGCAGCCCAGCACGTGCTAGGCGTCCGCGCTCCTCCCTACCCAAGGCCCCGCCCCTCTGGTGGCTCCCTGGGTCTGCTCCTGCAGATCCCGCCCTTCCCCCCCTTCGCCCTCCCAGCCCTGGGGACATCTCGCGAGAGGTGAGCGCGCCAGGCCGGACGGGAGTAAAGTGTCTGCTCCGCTGAGGTGGGAGAAGAGCCCAGAGCGAGAACCCAGGCACTGAGCGCGGTAGGCGGCGGAGCTACCGGCAGGTGAGTTCCGGTAGTGCCCGCCGAACCGGAGCCTTGATAACAGTGTACCCCTGACCCCGAGCAAGTCCTGCTGCCCCAGGCTAGGATCTGCTAGTCAAGTCTGTAGTGGACGGGGGGGGGGCGCTGAGGCGGTGGCCGGGCCTGTCTAAAGAGTGGGGGTGGGATCATGGACAAGGACTAGCCAATGGTCACTAGGGTAACGGGGATGGGCGGTGGCGTAGACCAATGGGAAGCGGTCTCTAGGCTGCGGCGGGATGCCTCCTTCCCTTCAGCCTCCTCCCCTCCCCCGTCTTCCCTCTGTGGGGGGCGGGGCCAGGGGCCTGAAATGAGGGGAGAAGTGGGGTGGTAAGTGGCCGCTTGGGACGCCGGCCGGGGTGCGGGGTAGAGGTAGTCACCCCGCCTAGAGAAGGGGAAGTCTAGTCAGTGGAGGGGTCATGGAATGCGGGTGGAACCGTAAGTCAGAAAAGGGGAGGTGGCCCGAGATTGCGAGGAGTTGGAGATCTGGTGTTGGAGACTTCTCGGGAGCTTGGGGAGGCGGGGGGGAGTCTCTGTGGGGTTAGGCGGAAGCGTTAGTCTGGCAGGAGGGATGGAGAGAGTGAAAGAGGTAAAGAGGATGGCTTTGGGACTGTTGGTGGGGGGAGATTGTCCCAGAGCATCCAGTCTGGAAGGAAGTGGGGGATTGAGAGACTTAAGTTTTTGAAGGGTGGAAGGGGAGACAAGGGTGTGGTGTGGGTGATCTACGGGATATATGATTTGGGTTAGGTAGTCAGAATTTGGGGAGAATAGGAGAAATGAAAAGGTGGAGGGCATGGCGAAGCTTTTGGTAGATGTCAAAGGTGGAGGGGGCTGGAATATTGAACTAGGACTTCTGATGGCAGTTAGGACTGAGTAGGGCGAGGGGTGTGTGTATGTATGTGTAAGGGAGTGGACTTAACTGGGGAGAAGTTGGGGGATGGAGTAGAGTAAGAGATAAGCAGTGAATCAAAGGTGAATGCTGGGAGAGGAATAAACTTCATTTGTTCTTCCTCACCCCACTCAGATCTTGAAGAGGAATGTGAACTGTCCTAGGTGGGGCTTCTTTTGAAGGAATATATTGCTTTGAATTGTTTGTTATCTTTATGCCCCAAACTTTCCCCTAATCCTAGGCTGTTCCCTCACCCACCTACCCACCCATCTACTTCTAATCAGGCTCGGTTTTTGGGGAATTTTACTTAAAGAGGATTTTAATGCCCCTGGTGGTATTGTCTGACAAGTGTAAATTTGTGAGTGTGCAGTGTTTTCTCAGCAATGACTTGACTGGCTTTAAAAAAAAAAGTACAGTAATATAATTATTGACTGGGCATCAGATTTTATAAGCATACTTCCAGTTAACACAAGAAAAGCCCCAAATGCATTTGTTTTATGAAATTTAAATTTTGTTCACTTATCCTCAAGGAGATAGTAAATGGGAAGATTTTTAGAGTTTAGAGATAAAAACTGGATCTTTGATTTTATTGATGTAGGATACTCCCAGTTGAGAAAATTCCCACTACTCATGATGGTGGTAGCCTCTTCAAAAGAATTTCCTACAGAGCTGAAAGGTTAAGTAATTTGCCCTGAGTCATACCAGCCAGTATTTGTCAAAGGTGAGACTAGAACCCTTGTTTTCTGGCCTTTGCCAGCTTCCTATCAAACTATAACAGTGTTATTAAACTCCAATATAAAGGAGGGCCACTAAACCATACATAAGGATCCCTACTGGCTGCATATTGACTTGGAAAACCACACATTTTATATATTTCTCTTTTTATTAATACATCAACACATTAAAGTCAGAAAGGGACTACATTTTAATCTGGTTCTAGTGGCACTTTGGTTGATCTGGGCCCCATGCTGCTGAGTGTTTTGATACTTCTGTACTATATACCATCATGCCTCTCTGAATCCTGTAAATGGATTATATTGGGCTTGGAGAAGAGTTGGTAAATTCAAGCAGATAACAGATTTCACCAAAAATGAGAAAACTGAAAATTAAAATTTTTTTAATCTATTTTAGCAAGGCTAAAATGACATAAAACCTTAATTAGTTGTGGTCAAGATTAGTGGAAATCAAGCATTTTGTTCTTAAACATGGAAGTTTTAAGGTAAATGGAGTTCATTGCAAACTATCGTTTGGTTAAAAAAAATGCTTGGCAGTAACTATAATTTTAGCAGTTGTTTTTTTTTTTGGTTAGGCACTTGGGGTTAAGTGACTTTCCCAGGGTCACACAGCTAGTAAATGTCAAGTGTTTGGTATGAGGGCAGATTTGAACTCAGGTCCTCCTGACTTCTCAGACGGTGCTCTATCCACTGTGCCACCTAGCTGCCCCACCAATTTGTTCTTTTAAAAGCAGTCTAAACCCAGAAAGATTCTTTTAAAATTTTTTAGTATCTGCCTACTTTTTAACAGTTCAGTGGAATAATGCAGCCAATTAGTTTAAGTCACTTTGCTATTATAGCTCAGATTTTTCTTTTTCACTATTGCCAATAAAGTATAGTTTAGTAAGAACAACAGTAACAATTGTACTTTCCTCATAGAAATATTTTAGTGTTCCAAATTTGACTTCAATAGAAGAGAACTTCATCTCTTGTTCAAACTTTTTTCCTCCTTCGAAGGAAACTGCCATTATAGTAAATTAAGATCGCAGTTAATGGCTTAGTTTTCTCATTGTTTAGTTGGGGTCCAGGAGATGCTAGACATTAGTACTATACCACTTTGCCCAGAAGCAGTACCACAAATATTCAGTGAACAAGAAAAATGTTCCTTATTTTATCCCCTCTTCTCAAATTATGGTGGCTTTGACTTGGGCTTAGTAAGGACAAGACAATTCACTTTTCAGCTTCTGGTGTTAATACCCATTGAAACTACTAGACAGTGTAATATTACTCATTTTTTCAACTTCTAGATCAAAGTTTATACCTCAAAATGATTTCTGTGTTGTAATTTTTAAGAACCTTTGTTCATCATGGTTTTTAAATTTTTAATAGCTCATGCTACTGTATCTCATTCTCTCCCTCACAGCATGCACACCGAAAATTGTGGGGTTAAAAAAAACTAGGTCGTAAGCTACAACTTTGCCTCAAGTGAAGTCCTTGGCTCTGTCTGTGCACAGCTGCTCTGAAATTCTCTCAAGTTATTGTTCAATGCATGTCAAGACTAAATTTTTCCTTGGCTGCAGTGGGAGGGAGCCAGAGGTACCGTAGCCTCCTATCCAACTCTGATAAGGAGGGGCCTTCTTGCAAAGAAGTTTTAGGTGGAGTGAAAAGAACAAAAATCCCAGCCACTTACATTTTTACAAAAGATTCTGTACTCTTCATAAAACTGGAGGAAAGTGGGTATGTAGGACAGATAGTTCTTGAATTTCTTAAAAGATAATAAAGCTGAAGTAAAAAGTTGATCTTATTGAAAAAAAAGCAAGTTTTTTGGTTTTGATATCTCAGGTAATAGTACTTTGACTTTGGAGTCTGAGACACAATCTTTTTTAAACATTTCAAGAAAAATGATCTCTCAATTTTCTTTAACCAGCACCCATTTTTAAATTGTGCCTGCTAATCAGTTTTTTATTTTGAGACTGCGTAAATTCCAGTGACTGGAAGTGATGAACATATTTCACTAAGACACATTCCCCACAGCTTTTGATTGTAGTTTTTCTAGCACATGCCTCTTTGTTAAACAGTTTATGTTTCTATTTACATAGTACCCTAAAAGTCCTTGTCACTAGATCAGTTCTGATCTGGAAATCCTCTTAAGATTGAATGAAAGAATTCAGCAGTGAGACTTATTCCCCAAAAATGGGTGGAAAAAAATAACCATACTCCTAGACCTAGTAGAGACTTTAGAGATTATCTAGCCTAACCCTCCCATTTTACAAATTAGTAAACTGAGGTCCAGAAAGGTGAAACAGCACAAAAGAAAGTTAGCTTTTTTTGTTTAGGAAAGAGCGAAGGGACAAGCACTTACTCAGCATCTACTACAGATATCTGATTTGATCCTCACAAAAACCTTTCAAAGTAACTGCTATTATTGTCTCCATTTTACAATTGAAGAAACTGAGGTTAAGTAACTTGCCCAGAGTCTTGAATTCAGATTTGAACCAGGCTAGAGAAGATACAGTTCTGCAGTTAAGGTAGGTCTCCTCTTCAGCCTGGTAATTATAGACCAAAGTCTCTTTACTGACAATAGATTTCATGAGAGTTAATTTTAGATTGTTAAATTTACATTTGAATATTATAGTAGATAATAGCAATTTTATTGTGCCTTTTAAGTTTTATTTTTCTTAGTGTTGCAAATTGTGAATGGAGGTATTAAGTACACTTTAATATGGTATAGATATAAGGGCAGAAGAAAGACGCACTTTCTTTTGATAAAATTCCCATAAATCTGACATTGTTTAGGTGAGGTTCTACAGAGAAAGCAGGAAGATGGATTAATGACCTCTCAAGGTCCTTTTCTAGGTTTGGGATTCATAGAGACTTTCTCAAATTAAGGTGCCTACAGAAGGAGAACCAGGAAGAGAAATAGACTATAAGGAAAATAAAATTGAAACAGTTCCATTGACCCAGTGGGAATGAGAGAGCAAAAAAAAAGCAACAAAAATGATGAGGAATAACTCCTGCTTTGAATAAATGTTATGCTAAAAAATTTGAAGATGTGAAATGACCCTGATACAAAAACTAAAATTATATTTTATAATGAAATATATACGTATACACACATATATAGTGCTGTACTGTGTATTTCATTGTAAATATAATTTTATTTGTTGTATCAGGGTCATTTCTCATGTTCAGATTTTTAGTGTGATATTTTCTTTCCCATCATTTTCCCCATGGACACTTTTGTGTTGAGAGAGTGTTTTTCTGTTAAAGCATCTTATTTAGTTTCTTTCCCTTCTCTTTTATTTGCCTTTTTGTTTAGAATTTTTTCTTTGCCTCTGTCCCTTACTTAGTACTGTCTAAAACAATGATTTTTCTTAGTTTGTTTTGGAACTTTCTAGGACGGCTCTACTTAAGTCAAAGATGGCTACAAAATTAATTTTGATAGTTTTTATCTATATATGCTGTATAACACTTTCTGAAGAAGGAATATGGTATCAAAGGGTATAGAAGATAATTTTAGTATCTTTTACTTTATGTAATAGTTCACACTTTAAAGTTTGCAAAGCATTTTGCATGTTATCTCATTTGGTTCTCAATATAACCACATAACGTGCTATTATTATCCTCATTTTACAGCTTTCAATATTGAGGCCAACCTAGGTTAAGTAACTTGCCCAAGGTCATTCAGCTAAGTGCCTGAGGCAGGATTTGAAGTCAGGTCTTCCAGACTAGTGCTCTATCCACTGTGCCACTTAAGTCACCTTTAATGATAGCTAGTGGGGCAGTTAGATGGTATAGTAGATAGAGTACTGGCCCTGGAGTCAGGAGGACCTGAGTTCAAATGCAGCCTCAGACATATAACATTCACTAGCTGTGTGATTCTGGGTAAGTCACTTTAAACCCAATTGCCTCACCAAAAAAAAAATAATAGTTATAATGAAAACTAGCATTTATTTAGCTGTTCAAGATATACAAAATGCTTTATACATGCTACCTAATTTCATCCTTACAACAGCCCTGAGAAGTAGGTGCTATTATTATCCCTTTTCTATTTGTGCTGACCATTTACAACAGACATCTAGGAAAGATCCCCATACCAAAACTGAGTCTAATAAGATTAATAATAATAAGTCTAATAAGATAAATAAGAACACTTTAGAGAATAAACCTATCATTACACTATCATGAATTCATTTTGTTAGATGACTGAATTCCAACTGTGGAGGTTCTTGATGAAAATTAACTTGATGAGCTTATTGTGGCTTGAGCCTGTCTGGAAGTAGAAATATCCTGCCAACTCCTACCCAGTCTTCTCAACCAAACCTTACCTTCTTTCTTGTTAGGAATGAAATTACTTCCTAGTATCTGCATGTCCTGCATTTTCCATGTAAGTGCATTTTCTATTTACATTTGGACATGGTAGCAAGAGTGGTCTCAGATACTAATATTATAGATGTTAGATTTAGAGCATAGCACAATTCTGTGTTGAAATTGCAATGGACTGTGTTGTGAAAGTCTGCATTTGTTAAGCACAATACTGGTGTTCCATTTTGTTCATCTTGAGTCTTGAATGTTTTACCAATATTCATTCAAGCTTTATCAAACTTGAATGACGCTAGGGTATTGTGCTTATGAGCCAGATTTTTTTCCCCTCTTTTTTCTGCTTCCTCTTCTCTTATACTTCACCTAAACTTATTTTCCATAACAGTTCTGGTATTAACATAACCTCCTGTTGTCCTACTTTCATACCAAACTCGTTCAGGTTCTGCACAGGCAAGAGTCCACTAGTTTTGCACATCTGTGTTTGGAGATGGTAAGATTCAATCAGAGAACTGGAACACTGCCAAATAGACCAGTGTAATGTGTTTATCCATAGTACTGTGTGGTCAGTGTCTGGATAGAGATGTAAAATAGATCTTTTCTTTTCCAGAACTTGTCAGAACCTTCATGGTTGCCACTCTGGGATGATGATGCAGATGTCCTCTACGGGGCATCTGATTAAATGATTATTCCTGAGGCTGATTTTTATTAGGGCTTTTTTTGTTTTTGTTTTTAGTTTACCAAACTTTTTGGTAAACTGTGTTTGTGAAATTACACACCAGGCCTCTGGATTTGATTGCCACTGGTCTGTTGTTTTAGAGAACATGATTCATCTAAAAGTTCGCAAGAGGAAAAAGAACAGAATTTGAATGAAGTATTACCAGTTTCCAGGAATTTTTCTGCTTTTAAAGTGTATAAGGAGATCAAACTAGGTATTTAGCATTTTAGTGTTGTATAATCTTTTTATAGTTTAGTTTCCTACTGCCATTTCAGTTAATTCCTGCTCTCTTTTGCTCTTGCCTGATTCCAAACTATTTGGGAACAACTTATAATGGTTCTTGTATAGTCTGAAAGCCTTACCTGGAGAGAATTTTTCATCTGTCTTTGAGTAGTTGCCTAAGTTAAAAGTACAAAGCTATCCTAGGTAGATCTAAGCTTAAATCATTTGTTCTCTGACTCAGTGGTTTGGTCTGATTTCTTTTTTCTCTTCCTGGTTTTCATTTGTTTGCTACAAAAATGATTTAGTCTACTTAAACCAGCTCCCTGGTGCCTGTCTCTACATGTCTGAGTTATACATCCAAAATTTATTTCAACCTTTTCTCTAACTATTCTGTTTAGGGTACCAGAGTACTCTTTTATGTATTCCTAAAAGCCCATACCAGTGTGCTACTAATGGAAAGTACTGTAGGCTCTCAAATTGGATAGGTTAACTGATACTTCAGGTATATCCTGATTTAAGAAAATTGTATGTGAAAAATTTGGATATGGAGTACAGGTAGATCTGTGGTTGTCCAGTTCCATTTTGAAAAGATTCTTTATTTCATACAAGGATTTACCACATTCATACCAAACTCAAGTGAAAAATATGTTATCTTACATGGTAAAGGAAATGTCAGCTAAGTGGTACAATAGATAGAATGCCAGACCTGAAGTTGGGAAGACTCATCTTCCTGAGTTCAAATCTGGCTTTAGACACTTACTAGCTGCGTGGCCCTGGGCAAATCACTTAACCCTGTTTGCCTCAGTTTCATCATCTGTAAAATGAGCTGGAAAAGGAAATGGCAAACCACTCCAGTATCTCTGCCAGGAACTCTGCCTAGAGTTGGACAGGACTGAAAATGACTGAGTAAGAACAAGAGGAAATCGAGTCATTTTGGTTTAACAGAGTTAGCATTTGAAATTGCATAGGCATTGCCAATATTTATAAAATTCAAACATAGTTCTAAAAAATTGAATTCTTAAGCTATGCAAAAAATATAACAATCTATTTAATTTAGAAAGTATCTTGTCCCTCGGGGTCATCATTCTGAGCATTGATTCAACAAATAGTTATTGAGAACTTAATATGACCAAGGCATTGTATTAAGTGTTGGGAAATATACGAAGATGGATGACAGAGACTGACTTTGAAAAAACTTACACTCTAGAAGCATCAATTATCACAATGTAAATTAATAGAAGTACAGTTAATAAAGATGTCTGTTGTTAGAATGCTTTATAAACCAACTTTTGTATTTACAGTGATTCAATTTGGAAAAACCAGATTTTCATATAACTTTATTGTGAAACGTGTATATTGCATGAAGTGAGGTACATCAGTAGGTCTTATTTATGAGTGAGGAACTCTGGATGTCATATCTCTTTGGTTTGGCTATTGTCTCTATTTCCATTCCTGATTCACTTAATGCTTTCTACCTCCATTGTGCTTTAGTTTCCACTTTGTTAACATTACACACTACCTGTTGTACATTTTGAATTGGATATCCAGTCACGTAGGTAAGACAACCTCAGTCCAAAATAGAACTCATTATCATTTTCCTCCCCTATCCCAACCCACCCCCTTCTTAGTTTTCCTATTTCTGTGGAGGATACCACCTTTCAAAGACCCAAGTTTGCAGTGTTGGAGTTATCTCTGACTTCTCACTCTCTCTCACCCTACATTTCTAATCATTTGCCAAGTCCTGCTGATTTTACATCCTCCACATCTCTTGAATCCATCTCTTCTCCCCTGATATGGCCACCACTGTAGTTCAAGCCTTGGAGCCCTGGGCCTGGAGTCAAGAAGATCTGAGTCTAGATTCGGCCTTAGACACCTACAGTTATGTGACCTTAGGCAAATTACTTAGCCTCTTTTTGCCTCAGTTTCCTCAACTATGTAAGGAGGGATAAATAATAGTACCTATCTCTCAGGGTTGTTGTGAGGATCAGATGTGATGATATCTGTAAAGTGCCTAGCACATAATAGGTGCTTAATAAGTGTTTGTGTCCTTCCTTCTTGACACCTCAAATCATTTCCTTTTCCAGTTCATCTTTCATGCAGCCTCCAGAATGATATTTATAAAGCACAGGTCTCAACATGTCACTCCTTTACTGGAGAAGCTCCAGTGGCCCCCTAGTGTCTAGGGTCAAATATGTATTCCTCAGTTTGGCATTTAAAGCCAGTCACAACATGGTTCCAACCTACCTTTTTTTTTTTAGTGGGGCAGTTGGGGTTAAGTGACTTGCCTAGGGTCACACAGCTACCTTTCAAGAAAAATCGCATATTACTTCCCTCCTTGTACTCCATAGCCCTTGCCAAACACGGAATATCCTCTCCTGTCCCCATGGCTTTGCACACGCTGTCCCTCATGTCTAGAATTGATTCTCACCTCATCTCAAAAGCCTCTTAGAATCCTGGCTTCCTTCAGAACACAGCTCATGTACTATATCCTGCATAACCTTCCTGGAACACCAACCTCCTCTCCTCTATCCCAAATACTAGTGCCTCTCCCTTCTCATTCCCCACTAAAATTACCTTGTGTTTATTTTGGTTGTGTATGTGTGTGTGTATGTGTCACATGCGTGTGTATTTCCATGGTATCTTTGTCTTTGTATAGATTTTGTATATACTGACATGTGTATCTATGTGTGTGTATATAGTAAATGTGTATATGCATATATATGTATAAATTGCTTACATATTTTGTATACCAAAGCCTTATTGGAGAATTTTGATACGATTTCCCCCCATTATCCTAGGTGCATCAATTTTGTTTGTACAGAAACTTTTCTGTTGCATGTTATCTATTTTATCATCAATTCAAAATTTTCCATTTTTGTCTTTTGTTATTGCTTCTATCCTTCGTTTAATTAAAATACTTCTACGCATGGTAGTGAGAGGCCTCTTTCTCTTTTTTTTTATAGTATGTCTTTGATATTATGTTCATGTATTCATTTAGAATGGCATGTGGAGTATGGTATGAGTGCTGGTCTAAACCTAATTTCTGCCAGACTGCTTTCCAGTTAAGCAGTTTTCCTAAGTAATTTGTGTTTTAACACTAGGTTATTGAGTTCTGTTATTTCTGATCCTCCCTTGTCTCATCTATTCCATTCAGCATTCTCAATTTTTTAGCCAATATCAGATAGTTTTAATGACTGCTGCTTTATAATGAAGTTTGAGGTCTGGAAGTGCTGTTCTTCTTTGTCCCCAACTCTTTTCATAATTTTCCCTTGATATTTTAGATCTTTTATTTTTCCAGGTGAATTTTGTTATTATTTTATTGAGTTCTGTAAGGTATCCCTTTGATAATTTGATAGGTATAATATTAAAAGTATAAATTAATTTTGGTAGTATTGGGACAGCCCAGCCATGGGCACTAACTGTTCTTCCAGCTGCTTAAGCTCTTTATTTCTGTAAGGAGCACTTTGTAATAGACTCTAGTCAGATTGCTAAATTGATCCCTAGTTATGTATTTTATAGTTATTTGGAGTGGGAGTAGTTATTGCCTCTTGGATTTATAGAAATGCTATTTGTTTGTTTTTTTGTTTTTAGGCAATTGAGGTCAAGTGACTTGACCAGGGTCACACAGCTAGTAAGTGTCAAGTGTTTGGTCTGAGGCTGGATTTGAACTCAGGTCCTCCTGACTTCAGGGCTGGTGTTCTATCCACTGTGACACCTAGCTGCCCCAGTGCTATTGTTTTTTGAAGATTTATTTTGTAGCCTATAACTTTGTTGAAGCTATTACTTGTCTCAATTAGTATCTTTGCTGATTCCCTAGGATTTTCTAAGTTAGCCATCTTTGCCTGTCTTTGTGCCTTTAATTGTTTTTCTCTTGTCTTATTGCTATTGCTAGCATTTTTAGAACTACATCAAAAAATGATGAGAGTGTTTTATTCCCCTGTTTGTTAGGAACGCTTTTAGTGTATCCCCATTGCATGTGATGCTTGCTTTAAGTTTTAGATAGATACTTCTTATAGTAAAAACTCTCTCCGTGTCTATACTTTGTAGGGTTTTTTAGCACAGATGAATGTTGTCTCTTGTCAGGGGATTTTTCCACCTCTATTGAGATAATCATGTTTTAATTTTTA